CATATACATCTTTAGATGATAATTGTAGAATTTTATCAATTCCTGGACTTCTGTCTTGATATCATCCCTTAATGTCTTTAAAATTTTAATGATTGTCTTTTAGTTTTAATTGAATTAGTTTCTTTCCTGCATGTGAAAATGACATCACCCAAAGATATGAAGAAGACAATTTTCATCACAGTGAAAGAGATTGTTTTGTTAAACATAATGCATTGATGCACAAATATATTTTTAAATTTCTAATAGCTAGGGTTCATATTTCTTTATATGGAATGCTAAGTACTGTTGATTTCAATTTTTGTGAACAAAAACATACTAGTAGAAAAAAAAAGTACATGATGTGTCAGAAAAGCATGTGGAAACCTGATGACTTTGTCATTGTTGATTAAATCAATTATGAGTTTCATCTTTGTTACATTGTAAACATTTCTAAGTAGGGCATACATCAGAAACTCTTAAAATTCTGAGTATCAGGGTTTAACACATCAATTCCAAATGATTTTTGGACGCTTTTTATGTATCAAAAAAAAAAAAAAAAAAAAAAAAAAATAGAATATCTGTTCGCAGATGTTTCAAAAGGAAAACAAGCACAAAGAAATGATTTGTAATGTTTTTTATGTGATTCATGTAAAATGTATTTTAAAAGTGTACCCTAACATTTATCTTTTGCATAAATACATATTTTTGTGGAGAATTTTTCATAACTTTGAAAAAGTAGTCTTATTGTTTAATATGATTAACTTAGAATTTTGTAGACTTTAAAGTTGTACATGATGTGTTACACATCTTACATATGTAACCATTTTCATTTCCAGGGCATTCAGCATATATTGTGGTTTTGTCTTAAATTTGTTTGCTTATGTAATCAATAATTTGAGAATACTCAAATTAGGTAATATATGAGAGAATAAACAAGAAAATCAGGTTTAAAAAATGATTTTTACAATTAATAAGGGGTTCTTCTATATATTTAATCTATAAGTAAATTCAGTTTATACAATTAAGGTATTTCTGTATGAAATAAACTTGCATTTAAGCATTTTAAGTCAATTGTAAACATTACTTTAACCAGTTTTAAAAAATGATTAGATTCACTGTCAGCATGTTATTTCTTATAAAATAAATGAGAAAACAAACAATTTAATTTGAGTCAGTTACTTAATGTAAATAAGAAGCATTGGAAATTGGGAATATTTCACAAAGTTGATTGAGCATAATTAATTTATACAAAATTTTATTCACTTAAGCATTAAAGAAATCATTTCAAATTTCAATATACAAATCATGTTTAGTCATGCAGTATATAGTTTACACTTACCAAAAAGTAAATGGTTATCTCAATTCAGGATCAATCCAAAGGTCAAAAAAGGAATGAAAAAAAAAATATATATTTTTTTTTATGTATCAAACATGTAGGTATTGCAATAAATTCACTGTATTCATTTTTTTTCTATGTATGAATAGCTCTGATTTAGGCAATCAAAATACAAGAAGTAAATAAATTATGTCAAATGATGAAGGTATACACCAGAAAATTACATGAACAGATAATTTTGAGTTTCCCTCAAATATGGTTGCCAAGGGATGTGAAATAAAAACAAAATATGGATTCATCTATTAGGATTGAGACTTGTACATAATATGAATGATGGTTACTATGACATTAAGAATGACATGAAAGAAATATATTTGATTCAATTATATAATTAGTTTTTAATCCATACAGTCAAAATGGAGGAAAAAAAATTCTTTATTAGGCATGAAGTAACATAGAATCACCCAATCCATCAAAATTTTACCTTTTGAAGAAAAGGAACCCTACTTGCTTTTTTAAGTTGCCATTCATATTTTTGTGTTTGACAGGTAGAGCAATGATTTCTAACTAGTATAGTGAGAACTTTATTTTAGAATCATCAGATTGTTCTGATATTCTGGTTAAGATATCAACATGACATCAATTAATTTGTTCATACAAAAGGGATGGAAGCTTTTCCAGGTTTCCTCTTTACTCAGATTAGATTGTGTTTTACTAATTTATTCAACATATAAGATACTCATCAAAGTCAAACAAAGGTAAATAAATGACTTTATTAAGTTTTTAGTCAAAAGGTCAAAGAGATGTGGACATCTGCTAAATTTAATTGTTTAGTTAATATTCATCAATGGATAGGTTAATTAAACAAACTTCATATATTTTTGGATTTTCAGGTTAAAGATCAGCACAATTTTTTGCTATACCATTGTTTTCCATGAATATCTTAACACCTCACTTTTGACTTTTCAGGTTAAAGGTCAATGTATTCCTGCTACAGTAAAAACTTCATTATTTAAGGATCTCATAGTGATATTTTTTTTATTTGTAAGGAATTAGGTATAAAATCTCAGACTCTTTCTATAATATGTCACTGAATGTGCTCCTTCATTTTAGAGAGTTTTACGAGCAAAATCATATACTGACTTTCAATCCTTCAAAACACAATATGTATATTTAAATCTTGAGATTCAGACTTTCAGACTTTTAGGCTTTCAGCCTTTTAGGATATCAATCTTAAAAACATTCAGACTTTCAATCTTTTAAAAACTTTCAATCTTGAGGACTAAGTATTTTAATATTTATCTTATAAGTCTCGTCTTTTATGTCATTACAATTAGTCTTTAGTAATTCAAACTTTTTTCATATTTGTAAAGCCAAAGTGTTGAAATTACGGTGTTTGTGTAATCTTCTTAATGTTTATCTAGAATTACTGCTTTTAATACAGTCAAATATAATTTGTGATGATCAAAATCTCCAACTGAATTCAAAGACAAACTGCCTGACCTATACATATTTAGAATTTCAATATCATACATTCTTGAATATCCATAAATATAAAAATATAATGATTCAGCATTAGCTATCATCCATACACTTGTTAACCTAAGGAACGCTCTTATCATAAGTTAAACGCATGAAATTCCTCATGCAATTTTGAAGAATTTCTGTTATAAGGGATGGTGAAGACAAAAGAAGAAAAAAAAGTATGGTGTAAAGTTAGCCTCACCCAACACCCAAGGGGGAGGGGGGTTGAATAAAAATAATTGAAACAAATAATTTAATTCAAATTTATAATTTTTTAAAAACAAATTTAATTCAATTTTATAATTTTTTTAACTTTAAAATTCAGGTTTCCTGGACAAAAAAAAAAAGGGTTCAACCCCCCTCCCCCTTGGGTGTTGGGTGAGGCTAACTTTACACCATACTTTTTTTTCTTCTTTTGTCTTCACCATCCCTTATAACAGAAATTCTTCAAAATTGCATGAGGAATTTCATGCGTTTAACTTATGATAAGAGCGTTCCTTAGGTTAACAAGTGTATGGATGATAGCTAATGCTGAATCATTATATTTTTATATTTATGGATATTCAAGAATGTATGATATTGAAATTCTAAATATGTATAGGTCAGGCAGTTTGTCTTTGAATTCAGTTGGAGATTTTGATCATCACAAATTATATTTGACTGTATTAAAAGCAGTAATTCTAGATAAACATTAAGAAGATTACACAAACACCGTAATTTCAACACTTTGGCTTTACAAATATGAAAAAAGTTTGAATTACTAAAGACTAATTGTAATGACATAAAAGACGAGACTTATAAGATAAATATTAAAATACTTAGTCCTCAAGATTGAAAGTTTTTAAAAGATTGAAAGTCTGAATGTTTTTAAGATTGATATCCTAAAAGGCTGAAAGCCTAAAAGTCTGAAAGTCTGAATCTCAAGATTTAAATATACATATTGTGTTTTGAAGGATTGAAAGTCAGTATATGATTTTGCTCGTAAAACTCTCTAAAATGAAGGAGCACATTCAGTGACATATTATAGAAAGAGTCTGAGATTTTATACCTAATTCCTTACAAATAAAAAAAATATCACTATGAGATCCTTAAATAATGAAGTTTTTACTGTAGCAGGAATACATTGACCTTTAACCTGAAAAGTCAAAAGTGAGGTGTTAAGATATTCATGGAAAACAATGGTATAGCAAAAAATTGTGCTGATCTTTAACCTGAAAATCCAAAAATATATGAAGTTTGTTTAATTAACCTATCCATTGATGAATATTAACTAAACAATTAAATTTAGCAGATGTCCACATCTCTTTGACCTTTTGACTAAAAACTTAATAAAGTCATTTATTTACCTTTGTTTGACTTTGATGAGTATCTTATATGTTGAATAAATTAGTAAAACACAATCTAATCTGAGTAAAGAGGAAACCTGGAAAAGCTTCCATCCCTTTTGTATGAACAAATTAATTGATGTCATGTTGATATCTTAACCAGAATATCAGAACAATCTGATGATTCTAAAATAAAGTTCTCACTATACTAGTTAGAAATCATTGCTCTACCTGTCAAACACAAAAATATGAATGGCAACTTAAAAAAGCAAGTAGGGTTCCTTTTCTTCAAAAGGTAAAATTTTGATGGATTGGGTGATTCTATGTTACTTCATGCCTAATAAAGAATTTTTTTTCCTCCATTTTGACTGTATGGATTAAAAACTAATTATATAATTGAATCAAATATATTTCTTTCATGTCATTCTTAATGTCATAGTAACCATCATTCATATTATGTACAAGTCTCAATCCTAATAGATGAATCCATATTTTGTTTTTATTTCACATCCCTTGGCAACCATATTTGAGGGAAACTCAAAATTATCTGTTCATGTAATTTTCTGGTGTATACCTTCATCATTTGACATAATTTATTTACTTCTTGTATTTTGATTGCCTAAATCAGAGCTATTCATACATAGAAAAAAAATGAATACAGTGAATTTATTGCAATACCTACATGTTTGATACATAAAAAAAAAATATATTTTTTTTTCATTCCTTTTTTGACCTTTGGATTGATCCTGAATTGAGATAACCATTTACTTTTTGGTAAGTGTAAACTATATACTGCATGACTAAACATGATTTGTATATTGAAATTTGAAATGATTTCTTTAATGCTTAAGTGAATAAAATTTTGTATAAATTAATTATGCTCAATCAACTTTGTGAAATATTCCCAATTTCCAATGCTTCTTATTTACATTAAGTAACTGACTCAAATTAAATTGTTTGTTTTCTCATTTATTTTATAAGAAATAACATGCTGACAGTGAATCTAATCATTTTTTAAAACTGGTTAAAGTAATGTTTACAATTGACTTAAAATGCTTAAATGCAAGTTTATTTCATACAGAAATACCTTAATTGTATAAACTGAATTTACTTATAGATTAAATATATAGAAGAACCCCTTATTAATTGTAAAAATCATTTTTTAAACCTGATTTTCTTGTTTATTCTCTCATATATTACCTAATTTGAGTATTCTCAAATTATTGATTACATAAGCAAACAAATTTAAGACAAAACCACAATATATGCTGAATGCCCTGGAAATGAAAATGGTTACATATGTAAGATGTGTAACACATCATGTACAACTTTAAAGTCTACAAAATTCTAAGTTAATCATATTAAACAATAAGACTACTTTTTCAAAGTTATGAAAAATTCTCCACAAAAATATGTATTTATGCAAAAGATAAATGTTAGGGTACACTTTTAAAATACATTTTACATGAATCACATAAAAAACATTACAAATCATTTCTTTGTGCTTGTTTTCCTTTTGAAACATCTGCGAACAGATATTCTATTTTTTTTTTTTTTTTTTTTTTGATACATAAAAAGCGTCCAAAAATCATTTGGAATTGATGTGTTAAACCCTGATACTCAGAATTTTAAGAGTTTCTGATGTATGCCCTACTTAGAAATGTTTACAATGTAACAAAGATGAAACTCATAATTGATTTAATCAACAATGACAAAGTCATCAGGTTTCCACATGCTTTTCTGACACATCATGTACTTTTTTTTTTCTACTAGTATGTTTTTGTTCACAAAAATTGAAATCAACAGTACTTAGCATTCCATATAAAGAAATATGAACCCTAGCTATTAGAAATTTAAAAATATATTTGTGCATCAATGCATTATGTTTAACAAAACAATCTCTTTCACTGTGATGAAAATTGTCTTCTTCATATCTTTGGGTGATGTCATTTTCACATGCAGGAAAGAAACTAATTCAATTAAAACTAAAAGACAATCATTAAAATTTTAAAGACATTAAGGGATGATATCAAGACAGAAGTCCAGGAATTGATAAAATTCTACAATTATCATCTAAAGATGTATATGATTGGATTTATTTTTTAATTCACAAGCAAATGATATGCTGCTATTCAATCTTTCAAACTTTAAAAAAATTCTGTACTTTTGAATAAAAATTTCAAAATCTAGAGGAGTCTTCCCAATACCTATTTTTTTTTATGACTGAAGGTAAGTAAATCACCAGAGTTGTCGTACAGCACCACTTGAATAAAAGTCATATCCACATTCTTGACTTTTCCCCTAATCCTTATTTCAAAAAATATACATGTATTATTCCAACCAGTTTTTATCTATGCAGTGATAATAAGATTTTAATAGAATTCTAAGGTATTACATAGTAATAGTCTTTAAACATCCTTGAACATAGTGCATATGATTTACCAAAGAATATGCCATGCCACCCAATAAAGCTGATAAAAAGTCTCTAGGTTATCACAAATTGTTAAAGTTACAACAACTGAAAATATAATCCAGGAGAAAAATGATCCAAAAATCTATAGAAAATCTCTGAATCTTTCTTTACTTATGATGTGAAGTTTGTAGGTTGCAAATTATTGTCAACATGTATTATTCCAACCAGTTTTTATCTATGCAGTGATAATAAGATTTTTACAGAAACCCTGGGTATTACATAGTAATAGTCTTTAAACATCCTTGAACATAGTGCATATGATTTACCAAAGAATATGCCATGCCACCCAATAAAGCTGATAAAAAGTCTCTAGGTTATCACAAATTGTTAAAGTTACAACAACTGAAAATATAACCCAGGATAAAAATGACCCAAAAATCTATAGAAATCTCTTATTCATTCATTCTTCATCTGTGTACTTATGATGTGAAGTTTGTAAGTTACAAATTATTGTCAAAGAAGTCATCTCAATAATCTTATGCTTTGACCTTGACAAAGTGTCCTAAACAACAAAGTGTATTCATACAACCATTCTATATGTAATAAGTATGTACAATATGGTATGATAAAGATATTCAAGATATTATTAAATCACAGATTAGGGGGCACTTGCATCTTTATTGTGGGGTCTTATTGAGACCAATTTTAAATTCAAAATTAAACATGATACATACACAAACAAAATGTATTTACAGTTCCAGGAAAGTAATAATTACACCAAAGCTAGCTTTTAAACATCTTATCTGTGTTATTTGATAGGGGGATATAGAAATAAGATGAAAAATAAAGGATCCAATGTATAAAAATCATACATAACATCTGTCTTCAATATGAATTGGTAAAAAAAAAAAATAAAAGTCACCTGTAGATACTTTGAGGTCTGTGAGAATTAGTTTTTAAAGAGCTCATGCTATCTGAAAATCACAATATCAATTCTAGGATTTGATTAGACCTCAGTTTGATAAATGACTGCAATTTATCTATTGTTGTGTATGACAGAATATGAAAGAAATGAAAGGGGAGAGCTTTTGACCTTTTTTTTCCTTCATCATAGTTCAACATATATATTATACAGGTCTTTATCTATGTAGTGAATATAGGATTTTTACAGAAACCCAAGGTATTACATAGTAATAGTCATATAAACACCCTTGAATATTGTACATTTGATTAACATTTCAATACTTTCCTAAGAATTTGCACCTAATTTTTATAAAGTCTTTAAGTTATCACACAATGTTGAAGTTATTGCATTAAATGATTCAAATCAGTAATCTCAGGAACTAACTTTTACTCAGGAGTAAATGATCCAAAAATCTATAGCAAATCTTATGATGTAAAGTTTGCAAATTATTGTCAAAGGTAGTTATCTCAATAATCTCATGCTTTGACCCTGACAAAGTGTCCTATAAAACTAAGTGTATTACGCTAACCTTTTCTGTGTAGTAAGCATATGAAGTGTATGAGATAATAAATAATATTCAAGATATTATTGCATCACAGATTATTGGGCACCTGCATCTTGATGTGGGATATTAAGGGACCTTTATCATATTTCAATTTCTAAATTTAATTATAGGGCACAATACACACATATACACAAATAAAATATATTTACATTTCCAGGAAAGTAATAATTACATCAAATTTAGCATCTGAATATCTATGTAATTTCTAAGGGGTTATAGAAATAAGATGAAAAATAAAAGGTTTAAATGTATACTTCTCATACATAACAACTGTCTTCAATATGAGTTGGTAAAAATAAAAAGTCAGCTATAGATACTTTGAAGTTGGTGAGAATAAATTCATGCTATCAGAAAATCATATTTTCAATATTTGATTTGACTATAGATCTCAGTTTGATAAATGGCTACATCTTATTCATAGTTAGTGTCTGACAGTAAAAGATACAATCCTGGGTCCTTTCTTTGTCATCCTGTAAACCACAGTCTTTGATGGTACTGGTTAAATTGGTTGGAAATCATATTTATCTATGTGCTTCTTAAATCCTCCATCCTGTTTGATTTTCTTGTTTCAGTGTTTCAAAAGAGGATATTCTGTTAGTCTTTGCATAATCTGATAGTCTTTCACCATTCTGAGAGTAGACATAGATCATTTCCACAAGCCCTCACTAGAATATCCTGGAAAATAAAAATAATGTCTTAGTTGAAAAAAAAAATTTGTTATGTAATATAAGCTTGATGGAATTCTAAATATAGATAAAAAGGGTATAAATACAAGGTGTAACATCAGATTTTGACTTTTCATATTAACCATGGGTAACACCTCCAGTAAAGAAAAGAGTAAAGGAATGAGTAAAATTCAGTTTGAAAAGAGAGTTCTTTCAGAGAAAGATGTAGACAGAGGTATACCGGTTAAAATAAAAAAAAAGATAGCATTATTGAGATCATTTCTCAAGAAGAATATAACCAATTATGTCCAGAAAAGGATGATCCTAATGTTGTCAGAGATTACATAGAAAGATCCTTGATTGCAGAAGAAGCTAATGAAGAATATAACCATTTATTACCAAAAGAAGGTAAGAATTACTATTACAAAATTATGTATTCTGATAAGAAAGTTTTCACTTTCATTTGTTGTGCTTTTGACCATTTTAATTGACCTTATGGTCAAGATTGTGATATATACACTCTGATAATCATTTATGATGTCTCCATGATGTTTACCTCAAAAGTTTGAATCAGGGTATTTGTGTTCAAAGAGCTGAAGAAACTATACAGACAGATCTATAATGATTTTGGAAGCATGCATATTAATTAGGGTAAAGGAGATATAACACTAGATTATTAAAAAGAAAAAGAACACAAACTCATAGAAATGATATTGAAAGTACCTTAAATGAATAAAGTGTCATGCTCCAAGGTATTATTTTTATAAACAGGAGAAGGGTTACAACAGTCCCATGCACTCATAAGAAGATCTTGGGTAATAGAAACACCAGGAAATTTTAATTCCAAACAATCAGGTCATCTTACATCAGTTATAAGGTTACAGACTTTATACATAGTCATAAGGGTCATTAAGATTTCTTTTCTGGTCATCCTAATGAACCACATTATAGTATTCTTTCCCTGTGATATAATGTTAATATTAAATGGAAAATTCAGAATTCACCAGCAATTGAAGTGAAAACTTGCTATCTTTACCAACTATGCTATTAAGGAAACTGGGGTTAACAAATTAGCCATATTTAACTTATTCTATAGATATGCTATCTTTAGCTGTTAACTATCATTTGGCACAGAAAAACTTCATACATTTTAGTTTTAAAATTTGATCATGAATTTTTATGCCTTTTCTTGTGAAGGATATCAATATGGTTTAAACATGACCATGACCACCAAGCCCTCTTTATTTAAATATATCATTTATTTATCAATTCAAAAATATAAACATGCATATGTAACAAAAAAAAAATAATTAATTAATAAAAGTTACAATTGTATCTCATTGAAACTTTACCTTCAAGTTTGTGTGTTTCTATGTTGATTGACTAACTGTGTATTTCCAAAGGAAGAGCAGCCAGGCTGAACTTCATAGAGAATTGATTATAGATGGTTAGGAACAAAACATATTTTCCATGTTGAGGACTGTAAAAATAAAACCATTTTTTTTAATATGACAGAGTACTGCATGAAACAATGCATGTTTAAATACAACATGTACAATGTCAAAAAAGATCATGAAAATATTTGTTTTTAATCTCAAAAAATTGTTTTTAACATTAACTCCAGATGAGAAAAGTTCATCATGTTATTTATAGATAATAAACAAGCACAACTAATGTATTAATACCACAAAATAAAATGATTATCAAATTAATTATTTAGACACTAAAAGACTTTTTTCTTAACAGCAGATTCAATATTGGTTTAATACCTATCTGTACTGCATACAGAAAAATACATCTTTTTTAGCATATACAACATGTAGTCCTTCATTTTTTTTTTTTTTTTTTGAAAAGCTTAAGAAACAAAAGTGAAAATGAAAATATATGTATGCCATATATCACACATATTTAGAATTAAAACAAAAAGTAAATGACTTAGGATTAATCTTTTGTAAATTCCTTCCTTTTCTCTTATTAGATTCCTAATTAATATCTCTTTGATCACCATTTAGTGAGTCTGAATTCCATGTGTAACATACATAATGAATTATGAAATTATGTCATATAATTTACACAAAAGGATTTAATAATATTCTGAAGATCCCTTAATCATGTGTTAATATATTTTAGGTTAAATAAGGGTGTGCTTATATGAATGTAAGTTAGAGATAACAGATCACATAAGTATTACACAGTCATTAAATTAACCATATAAAATTGCTGAAATGCAAAGATGACCTTCATAGGAAAATGTAAACAAATAAAAAACAAGATAAACTTACCAGAGATATCCAAATATATGCCCAATAAGTCTATCCATTAAATAATCCAGTGAAATAACATCTCAGCTGATCCTGAAAAAAAATCATACAATTCAGTGATACACAAATTAACCTCATTTTACAATGTAAGTAAAGCAATAATTTACAGATAAAAGGAACAGAAATGTAAAAGATACCATGTATTTTACCAAAATTAAGTGAATATTTTTCTGATTGAAATTCAATCATAGAATGACCCATCATACAAATATTAAATGCACTCTGAGTTACATGCAGGTTATATAACTGTAAATCACATGAAATGAGGATAAATACAGTATTTAAATTCAAAATAGAACTTTACATAATAATGATTAAATGCATTTAGATGATCTTCATAGGAAATGTAAACAAAAATAAGACAAACTTACCCGTGGGATAGGTCTGTCAGAAAGGAGATTTCAAAAATGAACACGCTCTCAACATTCACATGACAAGAATGCATCAGGATGTTTACTTCCGTGGTCATGGAGAAATTGAGCTTTATACAAGAAAAGCTTCATAACATAACAATCATCAAAGTAAAACAGAGGAAAAACAAAAGATAGTCTTACATTTTTTGAAAATCTAAGTTGACTTCTTAGAAACAAAAGTGAAAATGAAACTTTAATTTACAAGTGTATGACGTCATTTTTACAAGTGTATGACGTCATAATGCATAGTGTAGCTCGCTGACATGGATGACGTCACAATGCATAGGTAAGCATTTTTTTTTTTTTTTGCACACGGCTTTAAACAACTTGCTATGCCAAGTATTTACCTGTGTAGTCAGTATATTTTTTGCACAGGGTCTCGCTGACATGGATCGCTGCACAAGTATTTACCTGTGTAGTCAGCATATTTTTTGCACACGGCTCTAAACAAACTTGGCTCGCTGCCAAGTATTTACCTGTGTAAAACATATTTTTTGCACACGGCTCTAAACAAACTTGGCTCGCTGCCAAGTATTTACCTGTGTAGTCAGCATATTTTTTGCACACGGCTCTAAACAAACTTGAATCGCTGCCAAGTATTTACCTGTGTAGTCAGCATATTTTTTGCACACGGTCCCCTGACTTGAATCGCTGCCAAGTATTTACCTGTGTAGTCAGCATAAAAAAAACGTAGTACCTACGTACCAATGTAAAAAAAAAAACACTGTGTAAACAACTCCAGTATTTAAGGGGGAATAGGTTAGGGTTAGTTAGGGGGTTAGGGTTAGTTAGGGTTAGGGTTAGGTTAGGGATAGGGTTAGGGGGGTTAGGGTTAGTTAGGGTTAGGGGTTAGGGTTAGTTAGGCTTAGGGTTAGTTAGGGTTAGGGTTAGGGGGTTAGGGTTAGTTAGGGCTAGTTAGGGATAGGGGGTTAGGGTTAGCACTCCACTCAGTTGACCCGGTCATCCAGCCTGCTTCCGGCTAGGACATTTCTGGCTAGACCACTTCCGCTAGGGCCCACTTCCGCTAGACCACTTCAGGCCACTTCCGCTTCCGGCTAGCTCACTTCCGTCCACTTCCGCCCACTTCCGGTTATGACGTCACTTCTGATCGGTATCTTGGAAGTCGACTTTGTACCGTTCCGGTTTGGAGTTTATAGAGCGCATTTCGTATCAAACTTAAAAATTGTAAAATGCATTCAACAGGAAGCAATCAAAACAACGACATGCACGACTTGCAACAGCCGTAATATGGTAACATCATGAAATTGGTTAAATGTGCAATTCCAACTAAATTTGGGCTTGAAAATAAAATGAAAATTAATTATGAATGATTATGAATTGAAAAAGAAGTGAAATGAAATGATTTAAAAAATTTGCGCATTAATTTTTGATCGGTATCTCGGAAGTCGACTTTGTACCGTTCCGGTTTGGAGTTTATAGAGCGCATTTCGTATCCTGTTCTGACAGAGCTAGTGGCACGCCAATCGAATGCTGAATGGAAAACGGTTTTTAGTAAAAATGAGAAGGTTTCGATAAAAAAGAAAGCATTTCATAAACAACATTTGGAATATATATCAACTTCTTAGATTTTCTAATAAATATAAAGGGATAGCTGAAACAAACGAGCTACAGTATAATTGAAGACGTGTAGGTAGTAACACGTCTGTTCAGTTTAAATCTATGGTTTTACTAAGCAGTAAAATTAAGGACGTCGAGTCTCAACTCTGATATCTCGACACCTCGGATATCTCGACATTTTCCGACTGTCCCGTCGATGTCGAGATAACGAAGTTTACCTGTAGATCCATTCTTGTTAGTTGAAGTCATGATCATCATGCATACTAGTATATCAAAGATGGAGCTAACATGGTAATTAGGGACTCAAAAGGGTATTCTGTTCATTCTAAATCTGTCACAAAAATCATCCATTCTATACAAGGGTAATATTGTCTCAACATAATAGTGACACGAGCCTTCCTTTGTCACCTCTTTTTTTAAAAGAAGGTTGTGAGTTTTAACTGAAACTTTCCATTTATTGCTTAACCATTAAACCATAAAACTGGTTTCAAAATTAATAAAAACTATTTTCAAACCATAAACCTAAACTAAAACTAGTTTTTGATTAATAAATTCGCCCTATGCATTAAGCCTGTAAAAAGGTGGGCGTACTCATTATCCTATGGAGATTCCAGAATATGCGATGACCCCTCCCAATAAAAACGACGTTTAATTAACGTAATTACACAAAGTTGCAATTAAGACATTGGTCATTTCTACCATTTAAAGAAATATGCCCTTTTTTAAAATTAATTATGTCGCAATTTCTAAGTTTCCTTAAGTGCAGTGATCCTTTATCTTATATATTTAGAAAAGAACATCAAAAGTTGGGGTATATGATGTAAATTTTCAGATATTACAAAAAAAGTGTCGATTTTACGTTAAAATTGGCTCAATTTTCAGAATATATTTACTATATTTGTCACACTTTGTTGATAGAATTCATAAGAAATCATTAAATAGATATTTCAGAACCAGTATAACACATTTTACTGCAAAAAACAGCTTTGTGTGCAACTAGGATGGGAAAATAGGAATCCAAAATTAACAGTCCTGTTATAGTTCAAAATGGAAAAACTGATCATTTTCGACTAAATAACCTTCCTCCACAAAATATACTAGTAGTCCCCGGCTTAATTCTACTTCTCTAATTTAATCGCGGTTTTTTCATTGCATATAGTTTAATTTGCACTGTAGAATTCAGATTTAATGTTAGAACTTAAAAATAATGCAGAATTTTATAAATAAAGGACCTGACCATAATATGCTCAAAATCTCAGGATCGAACGTCCTTAAGTTTGGAGGCCCGTCGACGCTTTACTATTACTACATCCAACTCGGTTAAGACTTGATAATAAGCTGTTGTTGAAATTCATGTTGATTGTTATTTACCTTCGTCTATAATACATTCGGAAACCTGGCCCCGGGATCATGAAGCATCTTAAGCTTAAGTCAAAAAATGCCTTAGCTGCTGAATTATTTTAGAGGTCAAGCAGCCCATAATGAAAATGCCTTCCGATTTTGTATCATCAGTCTGCTGTTGTATGCAAATTATAAGTTTCCTTTAACAATTTTTAAAGATTTTATAGATAATTGAAATTTTGACTTAAGTCTAAGTCTGTTTCATGATTTCGGGGCCTGGTTTTACCAGTTCTTGGACTATATATTGAAAGACATTAGGGAATACGTGCGGCACCATTCAATTTTTTTGTTGTATTACGGCCCCACAACGCTGCTACTTCATTTCTCGCCAAAATTCTTTCTTCATCTTGTAAGCTAAACAACGGATTTAGTCCAGGAATTACTTTAATATCTAATTGGTTATATAAGCATGAATGATATATCTTAGACGTTTAAACATATAAAACCAGAAATCTCTTTAGGTATATCTGGTTTTATATCTATATCTGGTTTTTAGAATGATTAAATTGGTTTGCAATATACCTTTCACAGATTCCCTTTTTAATAGACAAAAATCTCAACTAAAGGCATAAGGAGAATTATGACCATTTATAAAATCGCCACTCTACAGGGATAAATATCATACCTAAATGAATAAATATAATTTCATCAAATATTCAAGATATCGAAGCACTTAACTTCTATATATGATCTACTGGCCTATACGAATTACTTTATGCATCAGTCCTATATACATCTATATGTAATTGATAAGTTAGCCATTTTACAAAAATAAATAAATAGAACTCAAAAAAAAACAATTTTAAAAAATATTTAACCACACATATACTGGTCTTTTAAAAATACATGAGTTGTTGACTATGCATAGGAATGTACCTTGGTATTTTGTATTAAGCAGGCGATGAGAGAGGTGATAAGAGCAATCCATAATTGCTAGAACTGATTAAATTCTACCAAGGACTGTATATTCAGGGACATGCATTACCATAGTTAGAATCTTCAATGTTATATATTTGAATCTCATGGCACTTCGGAAATTTCAAATAATTTTATTCTTTCTTTCTGGGAATGTAAATGTTAATTCTTCCGTTGAACGAGAGACTTGGAAAGTAATGGACGCCATGAATGACATATTCACCGAAAATTCGGTTTCTTACAGTCTTTCAAATGTTGCCTGCACAGAATGCGCGATAAAGACAAAGTTAATGAACGGAAAATCATTTTCTTGTCATCAAGAAAACCAGACGTGTTTGATTTACAGTACTTGTCTCTTGAAGACTCGTCTGTTGACATCTGAGTGGGAAGCAAGTGAAGGATGGAAACACTACTGTACAAGTAAGCAGTTGTTTGTACATGTATGCAGTTTGTATGATGCACCGCTTTGGTATTTATTGTTATTTATTAGAATTGGTGATATAACCTGTTTGGAATGAAAAGGTGATATCACCTATTCGTGCATTTTGTATAGGTGAAATATGATAGAATTTGAAATAGTGACATCAACAATTCGAATAGGTGATATCACCTATCTGCATTTTTACAGCAGTAAATAATGAATGCCCCCTTCCTCAAGACTATTTATATTTATTTCCATTATAACCAAGCAAATTCGGACTGCCCAGTTTTCCCCTGTATTTTAGTCCAAGACTTTTTGAATGCCTTATGTTATCGATCCCTGTAAAGCTATTTAAATTTTATAAATTTATTATGCGTTTTTTTTTTATTTTTCCTCTAGTATACATCGTGGATAAGTGTTATAAATATAATTTGTGAGAAAGCAACAAACATGTTCTACGGGGTGCTTGAAACTAAATGCAAAGATGTAATTTATCGTCTCCAAGAACGCTAAGTTATAAAACGAAATGAAAAGTAAATGAGACCTTTAAAGACTACAGTCTTGGAAGGAGTTGTTATTTCATAGATAATTTGAATAGGTGGTATCACATATTCAAAATGATTAATGAAATCTCTTATTCGAAAAGGTAAGATCACCTATTTGAATTGGTAATATCCCCTATTTAATTTAAATAGGTGATATCACCTCTTCGAATAAATGATATCAACTATTCAAAAGGATTATGCAAATTTTCTCGTACATAAGATTTTGTTGTCATTCTTATAGGATTAATACCTCATATTTACGAGAAA